AAAAAAAAAAAAAAAAAAATCACTTGTAAAGAAAATTTTAAATTTTCCTGTTCAAGAGCTGGCGAAGTATCTCAAGTGGTAGAGTGCCTGCCTAGTAAGCATGAGGTCACGAGTTCAAACCCCCATACTAGGAAAAAAAAAAAAAATTTCCCTGTGCATATTACCAGCTCAGTTGATGCCAAGCTCTTAGTTATCCCATATTACTATTGCCAGTTATGTTTCAATTGGTGCCATGCCCTTAAATTTATGAAAAATAAGCCTCCCCAAAAGCAAATATTAGCCCAAAAGCAAAAGTTAGGGTAATTCTCCCCAAGAAAATAGGATATGCAATGTACTTAAGTGAAAATTTTAGATTTGTTTAAAGGCAGATATCAGGTAGTGTTTATGGGAAAAATAAATCAAGCATTGGCAGCACAGAACTGAATTCTATGCACAATGAGCACTGGTGGTTTTTCTTCAATGGCAGTCTTCTTTGGCACCATATATCTGGGTATCAGTTGGTCTACTATATTTACAATTTACCCCCAATTTTCTTGAAATAATCTGAAAAACTAATTTAAGAAACTCTAAGACATAATTATTACTTACCTGTCTTTTAAATGCTTAGCTTTCACTTGGGTTATCTGTCCACTAGAGAAATCAAATACTTCTTCACTCAAGAGTTTGAGAATCACCATATTATTTTGACAAAGACTTTCACTGGTCCTACTTGCTCCAACAATGTCACTGATAAAAGTTGGCCAATGCTTGGGCCATTCTTGTTTAAGTATCTAAAAAAAAGACATGAAATGTTAACTTTATTTCCCTTCTCAAAGGCAATAAAACAACTTCAAAGAAACTGCATTATAATAACCAAGAGTAAATTATCAATCACTTTTCTTTTTTTCCTCCTTTATTAACGGCACTTTCTATACCAAACACACTGGGTAGAAAATAAAATACAGATAGCTGTCTGCCTTTAACACATTACAACCCCATTCAATTATCCTAACTAATGGTTTTATCTGGTACCAAAGTGCACGCGTATCAATATTTGTCATTGGTGTTAAATTATCCCAGTGACTTGAAGATCTAAGACTAAATGGTAGAAGGTAATAGGTTAGGAAGACAGATTTCAGGACTGATAGTAGAGTGCTTGTGACCTTCTAGGGTCAATCCCCAGCACCAGAAAAACAAGATTTATGTTGTCGAGAATCTGAGCTTTGGATTTTTAATTTTCTGTAGTGCTGCTGGTTCAAACAAGGGACTTACGCAGATAAGCTAAGCAATGTACCAATGAACTATGCCTCCAGCCTGTTTGTCTTGAATCATAGTAGGGTTTGGAGACACACATTTTAAAGAAGGTATGGTATTCGTGACTGAAGAATCTTTTCACTAAAACCTATTGGACTACATTTTAGGTTTATAAGTTTGGACTATGCCACAAACCAGGGGTTTTCTAGACATTCTCTGATAGGACCTGTTAAGTGGCAGTAATTATTGTCTCTGGAAGAAAAAACATGTGACACAATACTAGAGAAAATAGGTCAGTATAAAAAAAATTTCTAAATTTAGACTATACACAAAGTTTAAAAAGACTCCATGGAGATCAATTAGAATGATGCAGAAAAACAAGGAAATACAGGAATTAGGATGAATATGGGCCACACACACACAAAAAAATGCACAGTAGAGGGTAAGTGAGAAATCTAAAACAATCCAAGAATAAAAAGAAATGTATGATGGACCCTAATGTCCAGTTTAATTCATACTGGATCCATTTAATTGATGAATTTACAGTATTTGATGAACCCTATTCTACAGCAAACTAATCATTTAAAATATTAACCAGTCAGAGGTCTGTGGCTCACACCTGTTATACTAGCTACTTCGGAGGTCCAGATCAGGAGGATTGTGGTTTCATGCCAGCCCAGGCAAATAGTTTTTGAAAACCCATTTCCAAAATAACCACATCAAAATGGACAGGAGGTGTGGCTTAAGTGGTAGAACGTCTACTTTGTATGCTTCCCAAGTTCAAATAGTCAACCAAGTAGACTATAACTAATTGCAATTGTTGTTAGACTACTATCACTGTTTCTACAAGGTACTAGTCTACTTTATTTGACAAAGCAGGTTTGAAGATTACGTTCAAACAATAAATATAGAAACAATTCTTTTGAGGTAGATTGTAAAGTTAAAGCTTACCTGAACAAGAATCATATTCAATTTCCCAATGTACACTTTTTCCTTCTAAGAAAAAGAAAACAAAGTCAGATTAAATGAGAGACTAAATCATACACTAACAAAATGTTTTGGTATTAAAAAGGACAGGAAAGTAAAACACATCCTGTCCAGGGGTGGGTATCAGTGGGAGGGCATTAGGAAAGCATGAAGGAGGGCAAATATGGCAGAAGTACTTTCTATTCATGTATGAAAAAAGACCAATGAAAAGCTGTTGAAATTATTCTAAGAAAGGAGGAAGTGGAATGAATGAGAAAGATGGAGGTGAATCTCACTAAGATATACTATGATCAATTACGTAAATGTTACAGTGTCCCCCTATGCAACTATAATATGCTAATATTTAAAAAGTCTGATAAAAAAGAGAGCCCAAAGTAGATGTTCCTAGGAAACTAGTATTGTTATACTACAAATGAACACGTTTGCGTGTCTATTATAGAAGCATATTACACTCAAGATAAAATATTTAAATCATTTTGCAATCTCAACAATCTCCAAAAAGGCCTTCTTACCTCTACACACGTTGGGTCAGATGACGTCTTGATAATGAGGCCAACAACGTATTTTTTTATTCCTGTTAAAAAAATTTTCACACAATGAATAAAAATTTAAAGCCCCTTGTACCATGCTAACAGGTCTTCAGGACAGGGAAAAGCAGAGTAATCACTAAGTCAAATAACAGGCTCCAATGAAATCACCTATGCTGGCATTTAAAAAAATTGCCAATTATGGCTAGAGACCTTGGTCAGTAACAGAATGCTTGCCCAGTATGTGCAAAACCCTGAGATTATCAACCCTGTACAAGGAAGAAAAAAAAAGCACATGGAATTTAGTGTACAATTATTCTTATTTTTATTTTTTTTGGATCTTTGTTAAGTATTTTTTGGAAACAAGATTTTGCTATAACCCAGGCAGGAGCTGAGATTATAGTGATGCACTACCATGCCCAGTTTTGATACAATACAGGCCTAAAAATTGTTATCTTCTGGATTGGAGGTGCAGCTCAAATGGTAGAGTGTCTGCTAGCAATAGCAAGCATTAAAACTTGAGTTCAAATCCCAGTACAAGCAAAAAGAAAAAAAATTTTTATAACCACCTTCTAAGATATCCTTCAGTTTTACAGCAATCAAAAAAATACAACCTATAGTTTTTAAATGAAAAAATGCTTCAAAGAACCAACTAATATGTAGTTTGGTTGAATATATCTACACTTTTTAAGCATGAATATTTTTATAAAATATTTATAAATCAAGAACAGATGGATTCATTTAAGATAATACTTGAAAGCACTGTTAACTTTTTCTTTCTACAATGTAGGAGCAAAGATTTTGTTTTTAATGCTCTTTACCTAAGGATACCTACATAGAATTGAAATATTGTACCTACATTAACATACCCAAAGGATCTGAGACAGCATCCCTAATTGAACAAATTAACATTTCATATGACATGGATTATTTATAATAGTCACATCTCTTTCATTTGGACATTGTCAACAAATGAGTTCTTAAAGATTTTCAATTTTCGGAGTCTTCTGAAATTTAATGTCAAGGCTCATTTAAACAATCCAGAACACTGGACCCAAATTTTCCTTGAGACGAAAATTGCTAAGAATGCTACCCATTAGAATTAGAAAGAAAAATAACCAACTTCAGGGCAACAAAATATGCCTGTGTGATTATAAAAGTATTTCAATATAGTAATTTGTTTTGTTTTGTTTTGTTTAGTGGTACTGAGGTTTTAAAGCAGGGCTTCAAGCTCTTAAAACCAGGTGCTGTACTGTTCTGATCCATATCTCCAGTCCATTTTGCTCAGGTTATCTTGGAGATGGGAACTATACGCTGACAAACCGTGATCCTCCCAATCTCAGCCTCTTGAACTAGCTAAGATTATAGGCACGAGCCATTGGCACCCGGTTTAATATAATAATCCTCATGAACTAAACTAGTAACACTCTTTTAGAGGTGCTCCCCCTCAATACTACTTGAAAATGCAATTTTTATTAACTATAAAAAAAAACTACCCATTTTCCTCAACGTCCCCAATAAAATCAAAACACATTTTAAAAAGTAAAATAATTATAGGCTAAAGACGTGGCTCAAGTTGTACACAGCCAGCCTAGTAAGTGTGAAACTGAGTTCAAACTCAGTACCACAAAAAAAA